AGAGGTGGATTATTATTCGGGAGTTGAAGAATCAGCTATAAAATAGTGAAGAAAACAGTTTATTCATGGATGGAGGAAAGTATCATAGGATATAAAAGTAATTTAGAGAAAATAGAAGCAAGGGTAGTGAATAAGGAAAGTGCTGAGGTACTATGGGAAAAGTTAAAAAAAGAGATTTTAGAAGCGATGGTAAAAAAGGAAATTAAAATAAAAGATCGGAAGTTAGGCTACAGGGCGTAGTAGGATAATTCTTGTACCAAAAAGAAGAGAGCAGTGAAGCTAGCTTTGAAAAAGTGGAGAGTAGGTAAAGGTCGAAAGAGCCAATATATAAGTCAGAGAAAGGAGTGGAGAGACTATTGTGTAGATAAAGAAAAAATATATAAGGATTATGAGGTAGAGACTCTAAAAAATATAAAAAATGAGAGCGAGGTTTGGAGGTTTCTAAATAAATTTAGGAAAAAAAGGGACATGATAGAAAATAACGTAAGCTTGGATACATGGAGGGAACATTTCAGAGCGTTGCTAGGTGGTGAAGTGGCAAGAAAGGTTGGGAGCAGGGGAGAAATAGTAGACAGAGTGCCGGACATAGGATCACTGAGTAAAAAGGAGATTAGAATAGCAATAAACAAGTTAAAGAAAAAGAAGGCAGCGGGGTACAATGGAATACCAAGCGACGCATGGATTTATGCAGGGGAGGAAATTACTGATAGACTGATAGAAATTATATTAAAGGTATGGGAGGGTGAAGAAATACCGGAGGATTGGAAGATCGCGGTTCTGGTTCCTCTTTTCAAAAAGGGGGACAGAAACGATCCTAAGAATTACAGAGGTATTTCACTGCTACCAACGCCTCACAAAGTGTACACCGAGATACTTAGGGGGAGGCTAGAACGAGAAATAGATGAAAAAAAGATACTTCCGGAAGGACAAACAGGTTTTAGGAAAGGGAGGGCCACGATGGATAATATATATATACTAAACCATGTAGTACAGAGAGCAAAAGTAAAGAAGGAAAAGATATACGCGCTATTTGTTGATTTTACTGCGGCTTTTGATACCGTAGACAGGGACATAATGTGGGACGTGTTAGAAAAAGTAGGGATAAGTAAATATCTAATTGAAAGAATTAAAAGAATATATGAGGAAACTTAAGTCAGAGTGAGGGGTAGCGAAGGTACAGCCGATGAGTTTTGGGTAACTAAAGGGTTAAGACAGGGATGTCTACTGAGTTCGGCCTTTTTTTGCATATATGTTAGTGGCCTTGAGGAGGCACTTAGAGTGAGGAATGTAGGTGGAGTAATGGTAGGTAAGGAAAGATTCTGGTCATTGGCATATGCAGATGATCTGGTGTTAGTAGCCTTAAACAGGGAGGCAATGCTAGATATGATGGGAACTTTAAAGACCTTGGTAGCTAAAAGAAAACTAATAGTGAGCTGCGTTAAAACTAAAATAGTAGTCCTTAATAGCAGGGTGGGAAACAAAAAAGCAGACTGGCATTGGTATAATGATAAAATAGAGGAAGTGGATAAGTTTTAATATTTAGGCTTTATTTTTAACAGTAAGGGAAATTTCGAGGACCAAATGGATAAATTAAAGAAAAAGGGGGTAATAGCAGCAAAAGTAGCTTGGAGTCTGGGAGAAAGAAAATGTAAAGAGGACTTTAGTAGAAGAATGATGCTGTACAACTATCTGATAAAAAGTGTTATGAGCTATGGGGTGGAACTCTTTGGGTGGATGGAGATTCAAGCACTGGAAAAAATTCAATATGATTACTTTGGATGGGTGTTGAAGTTAGAATTTTGTACGCCGCGATATTTGAGTTTGAAAGAGACGGGGATTAATAAATTGAAAATTGATTTTGGATTAAGAGCTGTAAAGTTTGAAAATAAGGTATCTAGCCTTGAAGAGGACAGGCTCATGAAGTTGTGCTTCCAGGAAATATCTAAGGGAGAGTCTAGATTACAGTCGAGTGTGGACAGAAAAAGGTTTTTTTATAGTTTGGGATATAGCGAAGTTGAAATTGAAAATATGAGAAACAGAGATGAAAGTGTATGTAATAAGTTACGTGAAAGGCTGAATGATATCGAAAAGCAAGAATGTGAGGCAAAAATAAATGTATCGAAGTACAATACGCGGTATTGAGATATAACGTTTTTTGATGTACCTGAATATTTAAGATTGTGTAAAAAAGGGGTAGATATAAGTTGTATTGCGAGGTCGAGGTGTGGTAATTTTGAAACGTTGGGTAAATATTGGTTGAAAGAGGAGGATAGGGTATGTATTTTGTGCGAAAAAGATTTTGGAACACTAGAGCATATGTTAAGTAGTTGTGATGGATGGGAGAATGACTGTATGTTAAGCCCCAAATTCGCTGGGATAGAAACCGTAAATCTAATGTATAATATAGGATGTATAAGTTATACTGAATTTATAACCAAGACGCTTAAACGTTTGAAATCTCAATTAAAGGAAAAGAAAAATGAGACGATAAGGAAAGATAGTCAAACTTAGTATTATTGTAATGCTCTAGCGACAGCTAAATGCTAGTCCGTAGTTATTGTAAAAGGTAAATAGTACAGGGTGGGTAGAAAGCGTGAATTAATATATACTAACTCTTGTACGTGGTAATGATTATATGTAAGCTACTGTATATAAATGTGAAAAATGTATTTATAACATAATCGTTAAGTTTGGCGTAAATTAGCTTTTTTGTAAACAGAGTCCGTTTTCTGGGCCAACAGGCTGAAAACTAATAAATAATAAATAAATAAAAATAAAATATACACGTAAGGCATAACGTGTAGGCTGAGGCAACTCGAGTGCGTATCGAGAACATCAATAGTATCGGACTACACTAAGGAGCAAGGTACAGCAAAGGAGGCCTGCCAAAAGTGGTTCCAGCGATAGAAGAGAAAGCAGAAATCGCAACATCTTACTGGCCACGAACTCATTCGTGTAGTTTAAGGAAACACTAAAGGTTACCGCACGAATCATTAGGGAACTCCGAAGCAGTAGTAACAACAATCAGTGATATATGTAAGTTGTTTATAAGTAATATAATTAACGCTGAACCTTATTAAAGTGACCCGAGTAAATTTTATTCAAAAGAACAAATTACTTTTTAATTGCTTTAATAAAAAAATGCATTAATTAAAATCACCCATATTATTTAAATGTAGTTTATTATTTAATTAAAAAGAACAAATAAAGCTCACGAGCTGAATCCTAAGAGACCCACGAATGACTCTTAAATAAAACAGTTAAGACCATACGCTGAACAAGTCTGGACATAACAGGGGCTATTAAGAGGCCCAAGGGACCTGTGAAGTAAGGCCTGAGAGACTTAAGGTAGACTTGGAGCGATAGCACTTATGTGGCGAATCCTATTATTCCTACCGAGGGCACACCTGATCCTTAAAAATGCTTTATTGTATATGTTTATTTTAACAATTTATTTATTTATAAAATAACTTATGAATAACAGTAATTATCAGAATAATTTTATTGCTAAAAAGCTTAG